GAAAATACTTCGGATCGCGATGTATAGCATGAACGGGAAATAACAATGTATCGCCAGGTTCGACGATTACACTCTTGCGGCCTGGTTGCGACGGCGGCAGTTCGTATCTCTTAGCGCAAAGTCTATCGAGTGTGAACGCTGGTGGATATTTTCTGAGAGCCTCGGAAATCACCATGTCCATGTAAGACATCTTCGATAACGACTCGTAAGAAATTTCACCGTCTCCCTCGGCAAGATGCTGTTGTACTTCTTCGCGCAGACGTTCCTGAATATCTCGATTAACCGCCAATTCGTGAGCAACGAAACACATCAGGGTCGAGGAGGAGTCGAAACCGGCTACGATAAATATAAAAGCTTGCGAAACGATGTCGTCCAATGTTGTTTTGTGTACACTGTCATTTTCTTTATCCCGACACTGCATCAGATGAATCATATCCGGTCTCACGATATTTTGCTCTTCTCGCGCTTTAATTGTTTCCTCCACGATCCTCTTGAAAAACTTGGTCGTAGCTGGCGGGAAAAAAGTCAGTCCAATGGATGCAGCAAGCCGTGGACACATGCTCATAAATAAGAATTTGATCACCGTTAACAATCCTATAGAAATTGTGGTGGTTTCCATTCCACTTCTATAAAATTCATTGTCTCGATCTTTCATCGAATTAATACTTATACCAAAGGCTGCCGTGGCAATTACGTCGGCGGTGTATCGTCTAAAGGTCTCCTTCGTTTCGATTGTATGACAGAGTTCCGGATGGTCGACCAAATAGTTGACAAAATCATGAGAACATTTCAATAGCAAATCGAACATAAACTTCATTTTGCTGGCTGTGAAAGAGGGGCTTAGGGTATTTCTTACTTCTTTCCAACAATCTCCACGCAAGAAAAAAATGTTCTTGGCAAAAATCGGTTCTATACTTTCATCAATGGTCTTGCGATGATCCGGAAAATGTTCAAAATTTTTCACCATGATGTCTTTAAACAGCTCGGGATCGCGCAGAAGCACGGCATGCGTTCCAAAAAAATCCAATATTCCGATGTATTTAGCATCTGGGAGGTAGTCATACACATATTGGTAATAATCGGTGAGAGTAATGTGCCGCATAAACAATTTCCATGTTATAACAAGAGATGATAGAGAATTTGGCAGATAAGGAAGCCCCTTATTTTTCCAGTGAAAAAATATGTGGTGCAGCAGAGCGATAATTTTCAGAACGCCAATGACGATCAAAGTACTCAACAATAGCACAAAGGGCGACGGAAGTAATGACAAATCCATCGTGATGTAACAAAATTACAGACTAACAAGATGCTTCATTGAACACGGCGGAGAACGTTCTAAATATGCACGCGAAGCGCATGCGTATTTAATCGTGAAATAGTCCAACGATGGAAGGGGAAAACCGCTTCTCCAGTATTATTACGATGATACATGTCGTATCAGTTATAGATGCACGAGATGTGTTAGTCGCTTTACGTACATACAACGATATTTTTAAATATCACGGCTTCTATCAAAATTCAATTTTTATTAATTTAATTTTAAAGAAATGTGTTTTTACGTTTCAATAAAAATTGACGTCGTCTTCGATGCAAAAACAATTATTGATGATTATGTAACTCGTATAATTATCGTTATTAGATATATCATGTGCTTCTTACATTGCAGGTTTAACGTAACCATCACAAGAAAAAATTAATGAACATTAAGAGCAAAAATGTATAAAATAAAAGATTTTATTTCCTTACTTTATTCCCTAATCGTCAAATCATTTCGAAGCAAGTAGTTATGATGTCACAAAAACACATCAAATAAAACAAAGTATACATCAAATATTTTTTTTATTATATATATTTCGATATTAAAAATTTTGTGTCCAACAAAAATGTAAAAAAATGTTTTATAATATAATAATGTATTTTAAGAAAAAATACTTTCGTGAAATATATAAAATCAAGGATATTTTTATATCTTTATATAAGAGTCGTATAGAATGTTCTAGAATTATGAACAAGTAGCTGTATTCTAAGAGAACAAAGAATTAGTCAAAAGAAATAAATGATAAAATAAAACAAAAAAACATTATCATAATAAAAGATGTTATCATAATAAAAGACATTATCATAATAAAAGATGTTTAATGCAAAAAACTTGGCGTTGCTGGTACAAACATATATTATATTATCATAAAACTGTATTAACTAACCAGTTAAGTAATTATGTTTCATTTAGTGTATCTACAAAAGATAAAACAAAGTTAACTAACTATGAAAATTAAATAAGCTATTAAAACAATCAGTACGATCGTGTATATTCAAGAGCAAGCAAGTTGCAACATTCATTGCAACATTTAATTTTATCATTTCTGATTAGAAAAAAATTAATATAATCATTCCATCTAGCATATGCACAATAATGTCAAATACAACTGGAAAAAAGTCATCATATTTTAATTATATTTAAAAGTTCTTCAAATGCTAACATTTTTTTCAAACAAATAACATATATCGTCGAATAACGTGTCAAGTACAAGATTTTTACGTTTCTCTCTTCTCCAAGCTAATCCAAAATCCGTTAACAGGTGTCAATGAAAATTCGTTTTTACTAAATACAATTGGTTCAATTGTCTTATCCGTAGTCTTCAAAGTAAACTTTTGTAAGAGATGAGCAATCAGTATCTTAGTTTCCATAAGAGCAAATCGATTACCGATACACTTTCTGGGACCATGACCAAATGGTAAATAAGCGCATGTCAATATATTATCTTTGTTCTCCTCGCTAAATCTTTCGGGATCGAATTTATCCGGATTCGGAAAATATTTCGGATCGCGTTGTATAGCATAAGCAGGAAACAGTAATATATCGTCAGGTTCAATGACTACATTCTTGCAACCTGGTTGAGATGGAGGCAGTTCGTATCTCTTAGCGCAAAGTCTATCAAGGATAACCGTTGGAGGATATTTTCTAAGAGCCTCGGAAACCACCATATCCATGTAAGACATCTTCGATAGCGTCTCGTAAGAAATATCACCATTTCCTTCGAGATGCTGCTGTACCTCCTTGCGCAAACGATCTTGAATATCTTGATTAACAGCCAGTTCGTGAGCAACGAAACAAATCAGAGTCGAAGCGGTGTCAAAACCCGCGAAGAAAAAGGTAAAGGCTTGTGAAATGATATCGTCTAATGACATTTTGTGTACATTATCACTTTTTTTATCCCGGGATTGCATTAGCAAATGGATCATGTCCGGTCTGA